GATTTTCAAAATGTGGCTCTTACTTTAGCGCGGCGCACATTCGCTTAGCAAAAGTTGCAAGAGCTTCACGGATTCAGGGCGGGTCGTTTTCAAAATGTGGCTCTCGCCTTAGCGCGGCGCACATTCGTTGTAAACATTTGCAAGGGTTTCACGGATTGACGGCGGGTGGTTTCCAAAATGTGGCTCTCGCCCTAGCGCGGCGCACATTCACCTTGAAAATTTAGCAAAAGTGTTACGGATTGAAGGCGGCTCCTTTTCAAAATGTGGCTCTCGCCTTAGCGCCGCGCACATTCGTGCACAACATTTGCGAGAGTTTCCCGGATTCCCACCATGAACGTGCCAGAAATTGTGTTTTGAAGGAATTCAGGACTATGTGGGCGCAACAAATATGTTGATTCGCTGTGTTGAAGTCCCAGGAATGGCGTTCCGGCAAGATTCAGGATTGTCAAGACGCAACCGTCAGGTTGATCCGTGGCGAAGGAATCCCGAGAAGAATGTTTTGGCATGCTTCAGGGTCTTCAAACGGTTGTCTTCCAAAGAGGCAATTCCCTCAAAGGAAATGAACCGCTGTAGGGGCCTACGAAGAGGGAGCTTGGAGGGAGGGTTTATCCCAACATCGCTGATGACTCTTGGGATTACACTGGTCCTCCTCATCCTGCTCCTCCTCCTCCTCATCACCATCAGCATCATCATCACCAGCATCATCATCATTATCACTATCATCATCCTAATCAACATCATCAGCTTCATGACCACCTCCACCGCCATCACCATCACCACAAGCAACATAAGCATAATCAGCATCCGCACCATCATCATCATCAGCATCGACATCAGCCTCATCATCCATCATCCTCATCATCGTCATCATCATCGCCAGACCCACCAAGATCATGACCATGATTATCATCATCAGCATCATCATCGTTATCATCATGATCATGGGCATTATCATGATCATGATCGTGCTCAGCGGCTTCATCATCATCAGCATCATCAGCATCATCCTCGTCATATTCTTCAGATTCATGCTCATCGACACCTTCTGCTTCGCAATAATCAGAATCATCACCACCACCACCATCATCGTCATCATCATCAATAGGAGCATCATCCTCCTCCTCCTCATCATCATCATCATCATCATCAGCACCATCATCATCATCAACATCATCATCAGCATCATCAACATCATCATCACCATCATCAGCACCATCATCACCATCATCAGCACCATCATCATCATCATCAGCATCATCAACATCATCCGAGTCAGCATCATCGGAGTCATCATCAGAGGCGTCAACGTCACCACCAGCAGCATCATCATGATCATCAGCATCAGCAATAGCATCACCATCATCATTGGCATCATCATCATCATCATCATTATCATCATCATCATTATCATCAGCAGCAGCAGCAGCAGCATCATCATCATCATCATCATCATCATCATCATCATCATCATCATCATGATCATCATCACCCTCGTCCTCATCACGGCTCTGCCACCCTGGAGCAGTCGCCACCCAGCATGCTGGGCTGGCACGGTGGAGGGACTTGCCGCAGGCAGCTGGATATGGCGGGAACTGGCAGCGACGTCAAAATAAGGCGGCCATCGGCATCAACAGAGCTTGAAAAGTGAGGCGGAACTGTTCACCCGAAATCGCCAAAAGTACTACGGTTCTGGAATCAGGGGAGGTGGAAACAAGCCCAGCAAAGCGCACTGAAGTGTCATCAATTGCTCCTGGCAGGCTCCTGAGAGGCTCACAAGACTGTCCAGGTGCTCCTAGAACGAGCCCGAGAGGCTCCTGACAGGGTCCTGAGAAGGTCCTAAGAGGCTCTGCGTACGCTCTTGATGGGCTCTTGAAAGGCTAGCGGGGAGGGTCCTGAGAGGCTTCTGATCGGCTCGTTAGAGGCTCGTGAGTTCTGACATGACCCTGCGAGGGTGTGAGAAGCTCCTCGGCAACAGATGTAAGTTGCACTGCTACAAGGGTGGGGTGAAGCCCGAGCTCGGGAGGATGGTAGCATGCGGTCTTTTGTAAAGCGGATATACGTGGTGCAATCTAGGCCTCGGAAAAACATAGCGAACACGCATGCCACATTCATCGGTCAACGCCTCCCGCTCCCTCCAATATTAAAAAATGGCGATGGGTCTGCTGAGTTGCACTTTGACCGCAGTCTCCCCCACGCGTGCCGACTTCGAGTTCGGGGGGAACGTCCACTCATTGTCTCCCCCTACCGTCTATCCGATGACTCCAACGTTGAGTATCGTTTAACCGATCCCCATCCCCAGCGGCGTGGCCCGGGCCCCACTGGCCGATCTACCCCCCTACATGGGGATATAGGTCGTTCTCTTCGGGCTTCGAGGGGTACATCCCCACCTGGGGTGGTAATTTGGTGGGGGTCTCGAAGGGGATGGAGACGGGGATGGGGACCGGACAAACGGCACCGAAACGTGGTGCCCTTAACGTGCTGCAGCCCAACGCGGTGCAGCCAGCCGGCGAGGAGGGCCACGAGGCACCGGCGAGGCGCCGGCGATGCGCCCGCGGGTCAGGCCAAGCGGGGCGAAAAAAGCCGAACAACAAAAACGCCAGTGCACCGCACGAGACGCCAACCTCCTCCTCCTCCTCCTCCTTTCCCCCCTCCTCCTCCTTCTTCTCCTCCTTTCCCTCCTCCTCCTTCTCCTCCTCCTCCTCTTCCTCCTCCTGGCGGCCACCTGGCGATAGCCCAGAAACGGCATCGGGGAGACGTAAGACTCGGGTGCGGGGGACTCGGGTTGACCCGACGGGGCCATCCTGACAATGAGGAGACCCAACCTGCAAGCTGACGCGAACTCCCGCTGCAGACATCCCACGAGAACGGGAGCGTCAGAAGCCAGGACCATCTCGCCCAAAAACTTCGGCAAACCCGAGTTCCGGCTTACTCGAGTCTTAATGCGGGGTGACGATTAATAAAAAAGGAAAGAGAACGATTAAACAATAGTTTTCTGCTTTTCCTGCACAAGTTTCTGACTGGAGGAGAACAATTTGAAAAAATAGTTTTCCAGGCCGCGGCCGGTTTTTTCTAATCGTCATCCCGGGCGCCGCAGCGTGAACACGACCCCCGGTAATTCATTAATCGTCATCCTCCATTACGTCTCCCTGGCGGCAGCCAGCCCACGAGGCGCTCACGAGGCGCCAACGAACGGGCAAGGGCGGCCACCAGGCAAGAACGCAGGAAAACTGCAACCAGTATGACTTACGAAGCGAGCAAGAGAAGCCCTTGGTGGAACCACTCAAGGGATGAACCTTGCCAAACCCAGCAGCCGTCTGGATCGGGCCACAGGCCCAAGCCAAGCTGGAGGGCGCTTTCCAGACATAATCACAAATGATTCGTCGAGGAGCCAAAGAATCCCGCGACGGATGGCCCGTGCTGGTGGGGAACCCTTGCGGGGCATCCATTGCGACATCAATGCGTCGATACGTTCTAGACGGCAAACCCCGCGTCGTGCCACGTTCATTTGGCCATGGGGGTAGCCAGCAAGCAGCCGTAAAGAGCATTCGCGGTGAACCCACTGCGACATCAGAACATCGATACGTTCTAGACGGCAGACCCCGCGTCGTGCCACGTGCAGTTGGCCATGAGGGCAGCCCGCAAGCAGCCTAAAATAATGTTCAGGAACACCATCTATTTCTCCATCTTCATCCCAAAGCTGGGCCAACGAGATGTCCGGCAACCCGCAGTGCTGGAGGGGGGGATTCTCCCGCGGGGCCAGCGGATCATCTGGCACCCCATCGTGCGGTGAGGCCTTCGTGGCAATGGGGGGTGCGTGGGATAATACTTTGCAGGTGCACGCTATGTGTGATAGGGGTCGCGAAGCATGAGGAGGAGGAGGAGGAGGAGGAAGAAGAGGAGGAGGAGGAGGAGCGCCTGAGGGGCGCCGGGGGCGGCGCTACGCACTCGCGTTCGGCCCCAGTCGCGGCGACTCGAGGGCGGGAGGAGGGAGGCAGAAGGAGGGAGGAGGGGGGAGGCAGGAGGGAGGAGGGAGGAAGGAGGAGGGAAGAAGAAGAAAAAGAAGAAGAAGAAAAAGGAGAAGAACAACACTAATAATAATACTAATAGAAATAATAAGAAGAAGAAAGACTCCGTGGGGGCCAGGTTCGTCCATCTACTAGACATTCAGAGGCCCAGAGGCTATCCTCAGAGGGAGGATCCAACAACGCCTGGGGACGCTGGCCCCAAAACTGCACCGAAAGCTGGTGCACAGCCTGGGGCCCCAAGCCCGAACACGAGTTACCCGAGCCTAGGCCCACGGACCCCCCTGCACAAATACCCTCTACGTACCATAGCTAAGACATGCCTGCTCCTACTTAATGCCTGCCACCGTGCTGTGCCCTCCTCTACTCCTAAGGTTTCGAATGCTGCTCTACCTCTCGGCCTCCTTCTGGGGCCTCTCCTCCACGTCTCGTCACGTACCCACGGGCCTCAAAACTCTCCAAGATCGCCGTACCTCAGGTTTTCCAGGAAGCACGGGGTCGAAACACTCCTCATCGACATCTGTGATCTCGATGGCGACACCCTCCCCCCCGTACTCGGGGATCCCGTGGCCCCCGAAAAAAAAAACCTCATCGGCGAAACGCTCCTTCCAGGCGTACCAGGAGAACGACCCCTCGGCGAAATCCTCTTCATCGTCATCTGCGAACCTGAAGATTGTGAAGAAATTCTCATAGGCGAAATCCTCCTCCTCGGAATCGTTTCTCCCGCGCCGAAAGGCGCCATCTCCTTGCAGGTCTGCACAGTCATGTCTAGACCGTGAGCCTGCTCAGTTGTCGTAGGCCCCCTCCTCTCCGATGTCCTCGAACCCCCCACCGCCATCGATAGAGTATTTATCCCTGGTACTATTGTCATCGATTCTTGACAATCCGGAAAAAGGGGTCGTCTGTCGTGCCACACTCTCAAGGACAGGAACACTCTCTCTGGCTGGTGCCCTCCCCAACTTCAACTATGCGCCCAACTGCTGCAGGGCGCCGGTCAGCTCCCTGCGGTACTCCCCCACGCAGAGTGTGCTCCTGGTCTTGCCCTGCACGTAGCACCTGTCCACTCTCGTGAAACGAATGGTGTCCATCTTTTTGTCGTATCCCAGCGTCGCCAGACGCTGCTTGAACACCTGGAGCTTGTCGGAGTTCTGTTTGCCGATACTACGCTGCCTCGGGGCCAGCGCCTCCAGCAATCCTCCGGAAACGCGCGGCTGGAGAGCCCCTAACCCGTGGACCTTGCCTTTGGACTGCAACTGGTCGTTGTAGGCGGCGCCTTGCCCCTGCATCTTCAGCACCTCTGGGAGGTCCGCCAATGCGATTAGCACGTCGAAGAGCACTCCCTCCACGTTCCGTCTGCTCCGGGCGAGCGACAACCACATTTTCATCATCAGCACGCACGCGGACTTGTTGTTGGCGCACACCCCTGCGCAGCTCTTCGGCGCCTGCAGCTGTCCATCTCTGCGTCGCCCCTGTCGCTCGACAGCGTCCGCCTTCTCGTTGCCTTTGCCCGCGGCCAGGACCGCCGACGCCCCCCGATCTCCCCGCGCGGGCCGACAGTTGTTCTGGCTGCCCACGAGGCTCTACAACAACAGGAGGTGGGGGGAGGTGGCATTCTGCTGCATGGTCATGATACACATCGAGTGTGTCAAATTCAGATCCACACATCAAGCATGGGTATGATAGGCTCACATGAGAAAGCCGTCCTCTGGAGTCCGCGTTGATTCGTCAGCCACGCCGTCCGAACCTGTTGGCGCGCGCTATCCTGCGATGCAAACGCCGTGCGGCACCATGGGCGCGCGTTCGCCGTGACCGTGGGAGTACAGCGGATTGAGTTTATTGTGTTGACCTCCTTCGGATCTGGATCGGCGGGCCAATGGCCCCCCCCGGACTCGAACTCCTGGAGACGCGCTTGCCCCTGAGAGTCCACGAGGTTACAAATTCAAGAGGCGGGCTCCTCGTCGCCCCCCCTCCCCCCTGCTCAAAGGCCCTCGCAGGGCCCCGCAACCTGCCCCGAAACGCCTCCCCCCCCATCCGCCAAGATCGTGGCCCACAGGATCTTCGGGCCTGCTGTCCGCCAAATCTCCCGAACCTTCTCCTACGAGAATAATACCCTCCAGGAGCGCCCCGCGCTTTCCCGGGCCTCGAAGAAATCCCCGGTGCCACTGGCGCCCGCGAAGGCCCAGAAGTCCCGCTCGATCTGGAAGGCCAGTGGGGGTGCACGCGTTCGGAGACGGCCTGCATCATCAAGGGTGGCGGGTCTGTCTTCAAGACGCCCTCAAACCGAGGCGATCACATGCCAGCGCGCGACGGCGCCCTTGGCCATCTGTTCCACCCGCCCGAAACGCCTGGCCGCTTGCTCGAAACAGATCGGGATCAGGCGCCATTCCTGCCTGGGTGCCAAATTCGCAGGCAAGCGCGGGCGCTCCTGGCCAGTCCGTAGCTTTGCCGCATTCCAGTATTCTGAAATACTTAACCAATATTCTGTCCATCTGCTGGGTTTGGGCCCTCGGAAACACGGGCGGATCATTGGCTGAGAGCGCCGCTTCCACCAAGTGGCCCCTGAAGGCCAGGATCCCAAATGATTTGTTCGCTCGGCCGGTTCAGAACTCCCCCGAAATTTCCCCCGCCCAGCGTGGACGGCGGCGCATCGGTAACGAAGCTCCTCCATACTCGATAGGTTCCAGGCGTATCGGACCCCAAGGTGTCTAGCTCTAGCTCGTGCCGTGCCGTTCTTGAATACCGTCGTGAAAGCTCGGTTCGCTCGATGGCTACGAAGGCATGGCCCCGTTTACCCCTTGCTATACTTTGAGCAAGTCAACTCTCCCTCAGAACCCCGTCGAGTACCGCGCCGCTGCATTTCAGTGTCTCGTCGATCGCGTTCTGCGTCGCGTCATCGACCGGCATCTCACCGAAGATATCGTCGGCATACGCCGTCGTCGCCCCACCGCAAGTCGAGTTATACATCCCGCACCTTGAGCACAAATGGTCCGTATTCGAAGATCGCGAATCGACCCGTGATCTCATGAGGCCCTCCATCACCTTCGCGATGGCCACGGGCTCCTCGCTCGACCCCATCAGCCCCCCTCTTCGGTGTCGAACAGCCAGGTTTCGAGGATCTCGCCACGGCTTGGCATCCCCCACCTCGAAGATCATAGTTCTCCCCGGTGTCTGAGATCTAACGCATCATGGCTTCGTCCGAGGGCTGGAAGAGCTGGTAAGTCACCTCGGTCCTAGCTGGCGCCGTCGTCGAGGCGAAGGCAGTCGACGCGTCGTGCATGTGATTCAGGTGTGCCACGCGATGTGTACGACAGAAACGACCCATACACAGCTGCGCAACGATCGCATCCTCTCGTCTACGATGTGGAAGAAATCCGTGGAACTCCGCTGGCCATCGCACCCCCGCACTTTCTAATGTTTTGTTTGAGGACCCCCCCGTAGAACCCCTTCCCGCACGGGCACATCACATTGATGAGACGTTTCCCCAGTGTTCCACCTTTACGATTCTGCTCTGCAATCGACGCCCCCCAAGCTGTATCCCCCATGATAGGCGTGCGTTTCAGACGGCGGCAAGGAATCCGAAAGTCTTCCAGTATCTGTGCTGATGTAGTAGATTCCGTCCCCGGTATAGGTATTGCTCCTACCCCTAGGTGCTCTTGCGGCCACAGAGACAAGTACTTGGGATGCGCAGCCCAGAGGAAAACTCCACGGCGGTGCTGCTCGCCGCTTGTGGCTGCGTCGAAGCTGCCTCTGGGTCACCTGGAAGTCATTCCTACCCTGCTCCGCGGTCCACTCGAGCTCATCATCGTCGGCCGGCACTGCCTGTGCTGGTGTGCTGAAGTAGTTCAGCATCCGCTCGATGTCCATGTCTGTTGCGCCCATTCCTCCTCCTTCCGCTGGTAGACCCAGTTGTGTTTGCCACTCAGTTCTGCTGTCGTGAATCGAGGGCACGTTCTACCGTCGCTTCCGAGGTCCTCCCTGGTTTGCCGCCAATTGAAAGACCAGTCGGTGTACGTCTGCACGCTTGTGTTGCTTATGTGCCTCTGCTAGTGTTGCTTCCAATCTCCGTCGTGACTCGTCCCATGCTTTCCTGCTTTCCTGCCACAATGTCTGTCTTATCTCTCTCAGCTCGCCGTTCACCCTGTCTGCCTCCATTTCCACCCGATAGGCGAAACACTCCTCATCGGCGACAGTGATCCTGCTCTGCCCTAGTCGTAGCTGCCCACTCAAGAAACTGAATGGTGTTCATCAGCGCTCGTCTTACCAATCTTTGCTGTCAGTCGATCCTCCCGATCCGAATGAAGAGTAGTCGGTCGTGCCTCAAATCTGCAAAGCCCCGGTGCTTCTCCGATAGCTCTGGGGCGCATTATTAGTTCACTTCGCTGTCGTACCAGTTCGAGTCGCCGCCCACGTAGTGCTGCAACTAAGGGGTCCACCTCTTTAGGTTTCTTTGCGAAGTGCTCTATGCCTGTCCTGCGCACAGTGCCTGCCCAACTCTGCCACGCCTGATCCAGCTCTCCTCTTTGCGGGTACTGCCTTATGACCTGTTCCTGGTCTATCATCCTCGTCTCCAGGTCGCTTACGAACTCTTGTCCAGACTCCCCGCGCTGGACTGCAGCCGCCAGCATATCTCGATCCCATCTCTTCTCTGCCTTCGGCGTGGCTTCATAGTTTCCTCGACCGTCATATGCAGCAATATTGGGACATGGTCACGAGGCTGCTGCGAGGGAATGAGCTGGAGGCGTCTCGCTGAATTCCATGACACCTTGCATGCCGACACTTGGTCTCGGAGCCCCTGAGGGATGAAGATGTGGTTAATCGTGCTGTTATGTCCACTGTGTGAGTAGTAAGTCAGCCCTCCTTCTGCCGATCAGCTGTCGCCGCATCATACATATCCAAGGGGGCCAGCACTTCGTCCCGAATCAGATTCCCGATCACATCCCGCTCACCAATGTGATATGGGCCCGCCAGGGGCCGTTCATGTTGCCACCATGCCGCTGATGTAGACGGAGCGAACGTCCGAGAGCCCGTTCTGAGGCCCAACCTGCGTGTTGAAATCCCCGGCGCGTATGGGCGTGGACCTGTTGGGCGCCTTCTGAACCTGCTGGATGCACCATCGGACTACTTGGGCTGAGCCCTTCTCAAGGGCCTTCCGTTTCTTAGCCGACGCATTTCCGATGGGGGGGGGCGTACATCAGAATAACACTCAAGCCGATGCTGCGATTGCGAAATCGAACTGATCGGCCTCGTCCTTGGGCCGGCTGCGGGGGGATGTTCTCGACGTGCTTGGTCCTGAACATGTTTCCCGCTAGCACCGTACATCCCGCTGAGCAGTTCGAGAACGGTCCTGGACTCCAAAATGCATTGAGGGCGAAGGCCCCACTTCCCAAAGACATCCTAGTGACTGCACCCCCACTCCTCGCCCTCATGCGTGTCCCTGGCAGTAGTATGGTATCTGCTCTGATGGTCCTTCAGATGTCCAGTAGCCTCTGGGGTTCCAAGACAAAGAAAGGGTTGTACAGCGCGACGCGCAACGGCGCCACCATTCGCGGGCCCAGCGGGCACACTACGTGCCGAGGGCCCGCGCCCCGCAGGCGTCTATCTCCGGGCGGGTGGTGCGCCAGAAGGGAGATGAAGGTACAGTAGAGAGTAAAAGCTGCGCTGGTGCTGGGATTTCCTCGAACAGCTAGGGGAGGGAGGAGGGAGAAGGGACGAGGAGGAGGAGGAGGAGGAGGAGGCGGAAGAGTAGGAGGAGGAGGAGGAGCAGGAGGAGGAGGACGAGGAGGAGGAGGAGGGGGAGTCGCTGGAGGCGGCTGTTTCTGTTCCTCAGCGGAGGGATGCCTGCGCCCATGGCAGCGTCCCCTCGCAACCGCGGTCGGGGCCGTGCCTCCTTCGCGGAGCAGGCGGGCCATGCTGTGCTTCGTCTGCACTTCCCTGATGGTCTTCTCTCCTGCTCCGGCTGGAGTCGCCTTGCCTTCGTACGCTGCCCTACCAAATCCCAAACGACCCTACCATGTCTTCGTCTGCCTTGCCCAGCCACGCTGCGGCGCGGCACCCCGCTTGGCAATGCCTCGCTTTGAATGTCCCGTGCGCTGAATTACCTTATAGTGTCTTCATTTGCTTTGCTTGAACTGCTTCGCCAACCGGAGATACGAATATGTGCGTGTAAGACACATACATACTACTTGCAATAGGCGGGAACGCCAATCAGAAAGAAGGCATCGAACAGGCGGTCCAGAAGATTACTCTGGCCCGTGCAGGTCCCGCGCGGCGGAACTTCAAGTAAAAAACACGACAGAAGCATACAATGTCGGAGAGCCGCGCGGATTTCTTGGATGCCGGCTGGCCCTCCCACCTCCCGACACACAGAGCGTGCCAGGGGCCGCCCTGGAGGCGACCGCCTTCAGGCGGGGCCACGGCGCCGACCCAAGAGATCCGCGCGGACCTTAGAAACTTCCAGCGCGCGCCGTTCACGCCGACTGCCGCTTGCTCGCCTCTCCGCTCTGCAGACCCGACCCTGACACTGGGTCATAGCAAGAGGCTACCTGCGGACCGGGGCGCCCACACGGCCCTCGGCGCCACGGATCCAGCGCCCCCGGAGGCGCCGCGGGCAGCGGATCACTCTGATACGCCCCTGCCCCTAATACGTGCAGTAGGGTCGGCACAGATCCACTTCGGACATCCCCCAGCGCCGATCGCTCCGCTGCGGAGGTCAGGCTGCGGCAGCGGAGCCGCGGGCAGCGCCAGCGCCCTGGCCCCGGACTCCCCGAGCGCGCTCAGGAAGATTGATCGGGCGCACGCCAACACGGGTCAGGGCACGGCCCCCGACACGGAGCGTCAATGCCGCCCGATCTGGTGACGGAGCGCGCCGACTCTGCACGGAGACGGGACCCGTCGCACAGTCCGCGCGCGTCTCGTCCATGTTTGCGCGTCCTGGAACTGTCAGCCCGTGTTGCGACCATGTCCCACGCTGCTCCTGAAGCTCGATCGGGTCCGACGTGCTGGCAAGAGCGACAGCACTGCTTCAAATGATGACGTCGACAGTACAGACGCCAAGAACTGCACAATCATGACTTCGCGAACACACCGTAATTTACGGTGGCCTCGGAAGGTGATGAAGATTTAGCTGGGGCACCTAGGTGAATAGTTCACCGAAGTCATCTAAGATCGCGAGGGGTGTACGGTCGGACCTAGGGCATAATAACATCCTTCAAGAACATGCGACCCCCCGGCGGCCCCCCCATGGGTGCATAATAACAGCCAGTAGACACGAAAAACATCAGAGTAGCCTCCCCGAACCGACCTCGATCTCACACGTCGGGCCGACCCTACTGCACGTATCAAGGGGATTTCGCATGTCTAAGCCCCCTTCCCGCCACCCGAGCCCGGTCCCAGGAGGGAGCAGAGAGGAGGAGGAGGAGGAGCAGGAGGGGGAGAAGGAGGAGGAGGAGCAGGAAAAGGAGAAAGAGGAGGAGGAGGAGGAGAAGGAGGAGGAGGAGGAGGCGGAGGACGGAGAGGAGGAGGGGCGGAGGAGGAGGAGGAGGAGCAGGAGGAGGAGGAAGTGGAGGAGGAGGAGGAGGAGGAGGAGGAGGAGGAGAAGGAGGTGAGGACGGAGAGAAGGAGGAGGAGGAGGAGGAGGTAGAGGAGGAGGGGAAGGCGGAAGAGAAGGAGGATGAGGAGGAGGAGGAGGAGGGGGAGGAAGAGGGTTCTGCTACGAGGATCCTGCTACCCTGATCTGCCGTGCCATGCGCAAGAGAGCGCGACCGACGACGATGAGACAGCACCATCCCCCAGGCCTCTCCTGGGCGACATGGGGCTGCATCAGAAAAAGCGGTTGGTGGCCGGGTGTCGCCCTTCCCCCAACCGATTTGAACGCCCAGAGATCTTCCGACGAGCGCCCCCAGGACACTGAGACAGAAGACCGATCCACCTGCCGTGGGCGTACCTGGCACACCGACGGCAGAATACGACTCTTGGGAGGCTCACGAGAAGGTGACCTCTGGCACGGGCTAGCTATCTTGCCTCCGTCCCCGTCCAGATCGGCCCGAGAAGGCAGAGGGAAGCCAGGTGGCGGCGGTAGAGGTCCCGCAGGCGCCTTCACTCCCCCACTAGGCTGCGGGGGGGGGGGGGGGCACGGGAGACTGGTTCGGAGCCGCTCTGCGCGGTTCTGAACCCTCGGAGGTGTCGACGAGCCCTGGCCGAGAACCCCAACGTAAGCGGAAAACTCTAGCGGAGGAGGAGGAGGAGGAGGAGGAGGGAGGAGGAGGAGGAGGAGGAGGAGGAGGAGGAGAGGAGGGGAGGAGGAGGAGGAGGAGGAGGAGGAGGAGGAGGAGGAGAAGGCGAGCGACATCGGCAAAAAAAAGGGCACGGGCGCCGAGAGCGGCAGGGCCGCGGGCCGAGGCGGGCCGCCTTGCCCGGCCGCCCGAGGAGCTCCGGGCCCCGCACCTCCGGGGAGGCGCGGGGCAGGCAACTGCAGGGCGGAGGCGCGCGGGCACGGGGGCCTCTCCGGCTGGCTCGGAGCACAGCCGACCCGTCTCGCCACGTCCACGTCGCAGAGCAGGGCAGGAGGGCCGGGACAGGGCATGCCCCGCTCTGTGCCCGCCGCGATCGCGGCGGCGGACCTCCGAAACCGACCTGGAGGCTCGGTTCGGGGTCGGGGGTCACGCAACGAGGTACGGTCGACCCGGATCACAAGGATGCGCGACAATGACGCAGGGGGGCTTGGAAGGCCGTTTCGACGCTCTTCGACCAGGGCGCGGCCAACGTACGTGGCCAAGGATGGGCCGAGGAAGCAAGGATGCAAGGGTACCCTTGGGAAAGTTGCCCATCCTTGCTATGCGAGTTGGCAGTAGGTGGGGGTGTCGGAAGATCGCGCCGCCGATGCATCGGCGATGCACCGTGCATCGGCGACGCCTCGGCGGTGCATCGGCGACGTCGGCGTGAAGCACGTCGGGCTCCGCATCCAGCCGCATCCGTTGTGCCTCGGCGATGCGGCGCGATCCTCCGACCCATCTATGGGAGGCCTAGAGCCTAGAGGCGCGGGGGCCATGGCGCCGCGGGGCAGGTACGCTCCATCCGTGTGTCGGCGGCAAGCGAAAAGGGGGAAGAGAGAGAGAGAGAGAGAGAGCGAAGGGGGAGGGGGGGGCAAAAGTATTGGACAAATCGGACCGACGGCTTTTCGTTACCTTCGGCCTCTAGAAGCCCTCGCCGAGCCCAGGGACCGTCAAACAACGACTCAGGACCAAAAAATGGTCCCCCAGAGTGGGTCGAGACGTCTGGGGGCCCCGCATTGAAAAAATCAAGGCGTTGGATCTCCGTCGGAGGCCTGCTAAGTGGGGAATGTTAAACGCAAACCGCGCAAAGCAGCAGCACAGCTGCAGAGGGAGATTAACTGTTCGATCATCGAACGAGCTGCAGACCGAGCTCAGGTGTCTGGGAGTCGGAGAGCGAAGCCGGCGGTCGCAGCCGCAGTCACGAACGCGCAAAGCTCTGAACTCCCTCTAACTCTCGAGACTGAGCCACAAGACGATTCGAGAGAGCAAAAGCGGTTGCAGATTGGAGCTCGTTCTGAGGGCGGCGGGGCTTCTCAGAAGCCATACAGCCTTCAGCGAGGTCTTCTATCTTCAGGGAAGGCATGGGACAACTTCTCATCTCAGGAGGCAGGCAGGGGGGCTTCCGAGCCTTCAGTCTAGGCCCGCCCCTTTCTCACTTCCTCCCCGCGCTGGCCGCCGAGAGTAGAAGAAGGACGCGCGGCAAGGGATGCGAAGGACGTTGGAAGGTCACATGTCGACACTTTGCGAGCGGGGTGCGGCCAGCGAGAGCGGTGGCCGAAAATGGGGCGAAGGGGAAGGATGCAAGGATAGCCGGGTTGCCTGTGCATCCCTACTAGGCGGGTTGTTCATCCTTACGAGGCGGGGAAGCATGCACGGGGACAGTTGCTCAGCCTTACTAGGCGGGCTGGCTGTGCAAAGTCTAGCCCACAATTAGCGAAATTTATCACCACGCGTTGCTTCAACGCAGCGTGCGTGGACAGTGCGGAACCCTGTCCATGGCAGATGGAGCAGCAGAAACAGTGCAGGCGGAGCTTGGTTCATTCAAACCCATTTCCTGGATACAAGCGCCTTGAACTAGACGAGCCAGCGCATGGGGGAGAGAGCTACTGCTCGGCAATGTTAGTGTCGCCCTGAACTCGGCAAGGTGGAGTTTCCGCTCGTCCGCACGCCACGGAGTAATCGTCATACTCCCGGCGGCCCCTACCCACTAACTGTCGCAAATGCAGCTCGAATGCAACACTTGCGAATGTTGTTGTTGCGATGGTCTCCGATGGACTCCACGCGAAACACATGCGAACCCCGTGGACCCCCTATATGAACTCCCCCGAACCACTTGGCGCCTCTATCCATTTCCAGTGTGCGCAGACGCTCTCCCGTGGAGTCTTACGGACTCCTGCGGCGTCCTGTGGGATCCCATGGGCTCCTGCGAGCTCCCACGGACTCCCGCAGCATACGATTCGCCGCCTGCTAACAAGCGCATGCGAACAAAGCCTTCACACCACTCAATGCGAACCACCGCATGCGAATCGCCGCGTCTGAGCCAACGCACGCGAATCACTGCATGTGACCTTCGATGCATGCGAAACCATCTTACTCATTTGGGCTTCCGTGGATTCGTACAATTAGTACGGAGTTCGCGTACGGCCCGCATACGCGCGTACGCATCGCGCGAGATCTGCATACGGTTCGCATGCAACTCGAATGTGAACCACTTGCGACGGGCATGCGGTTCGCAGAGGATTGGCATACGATGCGAGTGCGGCTCTTCTTCGGTACAAGCAAAGCCTGGAGGCATCAGGAGGGACTATGTGATCCTCCGTGTATGTTGATTGCTTCTAAGGCGACTGACAAGTATTCCCAACGGTCACCACGTCGGAGCAGCATCCACAATACACCTTCAAATGGCGGTCCCCTTTCAAACGGCGCGAGAGAGCGAGGGCAATGCTGTGCGGACGTCCCCTTGGCCCGAACATTCAACGCCCCTGTTTTGAGTTTAGGCACTTTTAGGCTAAGAACATGGACTTCTCTCCAAGCAGTTTCTTCAACAGTTGTCCAGGCCCAGATCTCATCACGCCCTACCCAAAAAAAGACAGAGCATTGGAAACGCCCAGGGTCCAGTCCAGATGCTTGGTTTTTCTTCCACCAAACCTGGAGTACATGAACGTTGATGCTTCTTCTTAAGGTAGAAGAGGAAAAAAACGGCGTGAACATAAACTTTTGGCGCTCCGCGCGGATTTCTTGGATCTGTGCTGGACCGCCCTCCCTGGCGAGCGGAGCGCGCCACGGGCGGCGCTGGAGGCGCCGCTGGGGGGTCCAAGCGCGGATCCAAGAGATCCGCGCGGAGCACCAACAGTTTGTTTGTGGCGTCCTTTCTGGCGCACAAGGGTCCAGTCTAGATCCTTGGTTTCTCTTCCACCAGACCTGGAGTACATGAACGTCGATGCTTCTTCTTAAGAGCTCTGATGGGTGCATGCCCAGTGATCCGACGTTGTGTTTTTTTCAGTACGGGATCCCCGGAAACCTCGACCCATTTCCCAGGACCGTCTTTTCGTCCGGAGTCGCTTCTTCACGGTCCCGGGGCCCGGCGAGGGCCTCTATAGAGGCCGAAAGCGGCGAAAAACCTCCGTTGTGATTTTTGTCAATACGCTGGATCTCTGGGTGTCAATCGGACGCGGCCCCGAGAGCCGCCCGCACAAGAGCGACGCGGGGCCCGGGGGGGCCAGTCGGCCGAGGCACACAAGGGCGCACGGGCAAGACCAGAGGGACCAGCGCGGGACCTGCATGCAACAGCAACAACAAACGTACAGCCTCGACATGTCCGGGGGGGGGGGAATGAGTTGCTGGTTCCTCCTCCTCCTCCTCATCCCCCTCCCCCTCCCCACCCCCTCCCCCTCCCCCTCCCCCTTGTCCCCCCTCCCCCTCCCCCTCCCGCTCCTCCTCCCGGGCAGAGTCCGTCCAGCATCAGTCGCAGAACCATCTCGCTCACCACCCTGATCCGACCAGCGCACAGTCGTCACTGGCTCACCCCGAAGGGCAAGCTAAGGAGCATCTGCTCTGTTACGACTGCAGGGATGCAGGGATGTGGAACTCACATCCCCGACGTCGTACGATTCACAAGACGTGGGCCACCAAGGGTCTATAGCGCTATCCAGAGTTGAGCAGGGACCGACCGTCCCGGCACTCCTATAGTCCCACCACGAAATTCTCTTAGAACCCAAACCTGTTCGAATAACAAAAACAAGGTTCTTAGAACATATTCCCGATGTGTTAAAACATCACAGTCCCAACCAGACATGTTGTAAGAACATTTCGCGGGGAACATAACAAATTCTTAGAACATTGTTTGGTGGGGCTACAGGCGAGCCGGAACGCTTCGGCGCTGCTTGAACGTCGTACGCTTCTCAAGACGTGGGCCACCAAAGGTCTGCAGCGCTATCCAGAGGTGCTTTCCCGAACACCGCCTCTCGTCCCGAAGCGTCTCTTGCCATCTCCAGGGGCCGGCCGGGGCAACGGAGACCGAGCACCCACAGAAACGCTCCCGAAGCGTCCCCTCACAGCGCGAGGAGGTCCTGGTGCTCCGACCCCACCTGGGAGGCCTAGGCAACCCCCCGCATGGTCGCCCGAAATGGCTACGGAAAGAATGGGTACAATGCCCAACAGCGGTTCCTGTTCGTTCCGAACAGGGCTCGCTGTCGGTGTCGCCGCGGCCCGTGCCCACTTGAGGCAGAAGGCCGCCTGCCCAACAGGGGCCGCTGTTGGTTTGGGACAACATTTGTTGTTCGGCATTGTACTCCAGATTTCGGGGGGGGGGGTCTCATCCAGGCCATCTTGGAGGGCCTGGGGGGGTCTGGGGACGATATTTTGGAGGCTTCTCCCACGCTGGGAGGTCTGCAATGGCTTGCCTTGGAAGGTCCAGACCCCCTCCCTCTTATGACGAGATTCCGGAGTGCCCCTTCTTTCCGTGCCCACCTCGGGCGTCCGGACCACCGAACGGCTCCGAAGAGGCCGAGGCCCCCCCCCCCCACGACGACCCATAGGGGCTTCTCCCCGGCTGCGGGTAAAACAGGGCTAGGATCGGGATAAATCGCTCCAGAGCGTTCCGGAGCGCTCTCAGAGCGTTCCGGAACGCTCTGGAGCGGCCGCGGCGCCCAATACACCCTCCAAACCCGCCGATCCTCCGAGATTTCGAGTTATCCCGATCCGATGTTGGCCCGATCTTCGCGCCGTTCTAGCGGGCCCCCCCTGCCTGGCGCCCGCGGCCCCCCCCCCCCCCGCCGCGCGCGCCTGGCCGCCGACCCTCGCGGGCCTCTCCCCGTCGACCACATATACGCGCGCGCAGGGGCGACCCTGGGCAGCCCAGGACCCCCCTGGCGCCCCCTCCTCCTCCTCCTCCTCCTCCTCCTCCTCCTCCTCCTCCTCCTCCTCCTCCTCCTCCTCCTCCTCCTCCTCCTCCTCCTCCTCCTCCTCCTCCCCCCTGCGATCCTGGCGGCGCCGTCTGCTCACAGCGGGGCGCCTCCTCTCGACTTCGGGCCCCAGCTAGGGCCCTCACAGATCGACGCGGCTCGAACAATGGCGCAGAAGGGTGGGGGCTGGGGCTCCAGGCGTGATTTGTTTTTCTGCTTTCGCACGTGTGTTTTGCAACGTCGGACCTCAGGGGCTGTGAGAAATCACGACGGGCGTTTTTTCTGTACGTTCGGCCTCCGGGGGCCCTCGCCGGGCCACGGGAGCGTCAGACAGCGGCTCAGGATGAGAAGCTGGTTCTGGGGAGGGGGTCCAGATCCCTCTGGGGGTGGACGCTGTGAAACAATCACGACGTAAGGGGTCTTGGAAGAGTGACCCTCGGTGCGCGGCTTTCGGGGGCCGCGGGGGTGCCAAACACAAGCGCGCCAGACGCTGCCACCGCCTCGGCGTTCGTGCGGCCTGCCCCGCAGGGGCCAAGTCCTGGGGAACAACGGCCCCACCCCGCCGCCGATGGCCTGCAAGCCCTGCGGGGCGTTGGCACACGGCGTGGGGTGGCCGCTACCGCGCGGGGCACGAACGCCTCCTCGCCTGGTCTTCGGGTCGAGACCTGGACCTTCTGAGGCCGATCAGGACGCTCTGAGCACCCCTGAAACGTCTTCGGAGAGGCGCGGCTGCTGGAGTGCATCCCGAGCCGACGAAACCGCCCGAATACCTCGAAGCTCGAATCCCTTTCGTCACCCTCACCAGACCCCCGACGTCGTGTTGTTTTCATGACGTCGACCCCTGGAGGTCTCGACCCATTCCCCAGGACCGGCTTCTCATCCCAAGTCGCTTTTGTTTGGCGCTCCCGAGGGCCAGTATGAGAGCCCCCCGAGGCCCGAAACAGCGAAACGCCGCCCGTCGCGATCTGTTCATGACCCGAGTGGGTCTGGGTCCCCCCTGCTCTGTTCCTACAGTGGAGGCCAGTCCACAAGAAACCTTCCACAAGAAACCCCACCCCGAGATCCCAGGACGTCGATTGACTTCTGGTGTGGGAGCGTCGCGCTCCCCATCGCAAAACACCATCGGAGCCCGAGACACCCAGGGCGCCCTGGAGGCAAGCAGGGTGTTTCTTGGCTCAGAGGTCGAGGGGGGGGCCTTTGCGGTTCGAACACCCCCCCTGCAACTCGAGGGGAGGCCCCCCCCGCGGTGGTTCGAGCCCCCTTCCCCTCCTTTGGACAGAGGGGGGAGGGGGGGGGCGGGTTCGACGTCCCCCCCTTGCAACTTAGGCCCCCCCACCTCCCGATCGACCCCCACCCCCTGCTGCAAATCGAGAAGCTCAGAGCTCCGGCGGCTTCGGAAGCTGTCTCGGGCGCCGCGGCCTCCTCGGAGCGTTCCGGAAGGCTCTGCGCGCCTGCGCTCCGGAACGCTCTGGAACGGATCTCCTTTCTCGTCCTGTAGACCCGCCCGGCAGCCCATCCTTCTGCGTCATCCTGAGGAGGAGGTGGAGGAGGAGGAGGAGGAAGCGCTATCCTGGCAGCCTGATGAGGAGGAGGAGGAGGAGGAGGAGGAGGAGGAGGAAGGAGGAATCGCTATCCTGGCAGAGGGAGGAGGAGGAGGAGGAGGAGAGGAGGAGGAGGAGGGAGAGAGGGGGAAGGAGGGTGAGAGGAGGAGGAAGCCGAAGAGGAGGAGGACGAGGAGGAAGAGGAGGAGAGCCTCGCTGGCTCAGGCCAGCGCAGGCCGGATCGAGCTGTGAGGGGCCCGGGGCCCGCAGCTGGGGGGCCAGAGCGCCCCCGCTGCGCCCACCTCCTCCTCCCCTCCTCCTCCCCCTCCTCCTCCTCCTCCTCCCCCCTCCTCTCCTCCTCCCCCTCCTCCTCTCCTCCTCCCCCTCCTCCTCCTCCTCCTCCTCCTCCTCCTCCTCCTCCGCGGGGAGGGGGCCTCCACCTCCAGGAACACGCGCGGGTTCGGGCGCCGGCGGCTCGGCGCCGCGGGCTCCGGCGCGCGCTCCTGGCGCAGCCGCCGCTGCCGCCGAGATCGCCACGGCGACGACGACGACGCCGACGTTCGACGACGACGACGACGACGACGACGACGACGACGACGACGACGACGACGACGACCACGACGACGGCGACGACGACGACGACGACGGCGACGACCACGACGAGGGCGACGACGACGACGACCACGACGACGGCGACGACGACGACGACGTTGACCACGACGACGACGACGACGACGACGACGACGACGACGACGACGACAACGAGGACGACGACGACAACGACGACGACGACGGCCGACGGTCGACGACGGCGACGCATTGTTGCTTTACCGCTGCGCCCGCGCGCCGCGGCAAGAGGAGACGAGCGCGCACGAGAGAGAGACTCATAGATCCGAGGCCCCAGAGGAAAAATTGGGAGCGGCTGGCTCCGGGCTCTCCTCGGCCGTCTCGGGGGCCCTCCACGGGCCCCTGGGACCGTCACAGGACGGCTCCTCGCCATCGCTCGGACGTCCATTCCCTGTGCATTTTTCGGTCCCGTGCGTGGTCTTTTCGCCAAATGGCCAAGGACGCTCCTCGAGGGTCCTCGCCGAAGGAAAGATGCACGCGTCCGAGCGATGCCAGGGCTCGGGAGGGAAGACTGGCCCTATATAGGGAAATTGTGCAGACCTCCGGGGGTCCACGCGGCGACACTCCTCTTCTTCCTCCTCCTCCTCCTCCGCCTCCTCCTCCTCCTCCCTCCTCCTTCCTCCTCCTCCTCCTCCTCCTCCTCCTCCTCCTCCTCCTCCTCCTCCTCCAAAGTGGGAGCGCCGGACGTCCTTGGGATCACGAGCGTGGGCTCAGGAGACGAGAGAGGGCGACGGCCCACCGCCGCCGCCGCCGAGAGGAGCGCAGACCTTCCCCTGCGGCGGCTCCGCCTGCGCGCCGCGGCAGGAGGAACGAACAACACACACCCATGCCCATAGGGGGGTCGTTGGGAGGAGGACTGGCTATGGGTATGGGTGCGGGTCGTCGGGCCCTGGGGAACGCTCCCGTTCGAGCGGGGACCCCCATCCGACAACACGCATCCATAGCCATCTCCAATACCCCTATGGGTATGGGTGTGTGGTGTTGGTTCGTCACAGCAGGAAGAGACGAACGCAGAACGGGAGGCATCGCCCCCCTCCACGCTTCGTTTTCTGGCAGCAGTCGCTGCCTGGGGGGAGGGGGGGGGGGACCCCTGGGTGACGACAACGCTTGGGCGGGATTGGCCAGTGGGCACGTCTGGGCAGGGGTGCGCTGCGAACGCCAGAGCACGCCAGGGGTCTTCTGCGGACTCTCGTGCAGGCGGCCTGCCAGGAGTATGATGTCCCTTTCAAGTGTCGGGCCCGGGGAGTCCAGACTCGTTCGGCACTTCGCCAGCGCGTCTGGCAGACATTGCTTCGATATTTCTCGGGATGCTTGAAATTATATGCCCATGAGTCGGAAGAAGTAGGTTGAACCATTAAGTTGGAAGGCATTGAAAATAGATTGTGTGTCCGCCCGCCTCCTGAAGAGGACGGAATAGGTGAAGCCATTCGATCATTGAAGCAGGAAGGCGCTTAATTAAAGTAGATTAGAATCTGGGAATCCAAAAATACCTACGTTCAACGACCGATGGGTACGAGGTCAAGCAGCCCCTGATCGTAATTACCCACCCGCCGCTGTCCCTGGCAGTCTCGGGCCTCCGCGGCCATGAACAGACTTGTGGCGTCGGGTCAGAGCACAGATTTGGCCGATGCAATGACTAGCCCCGACCCTCTCCCAAGGGCCGGCCTTCCACCCTGAAGAGTTAGTCTCATCGACGGCCAGGGGCCCAGAGAGGGCCCCAGGGGGACCGAAAACTGCTCAAAGCCTCTCGCCGACTGTCTTGTTTCACGACGCGACCGCGTCTGGGACCCAGACCCCAGACGTCAAGACTTGTTCGTGACGTCGACCCCCAGGGAGGTCTGGACCCATTCCCGGGGACCAGCTCCTCATCCTGAGTCGTTTCTTGACGGTCCCGAAGCCCGGCAAGCGCCTGCAGAGCGAGAGTAGCGAGAAACCTTCGGTCATAATTTTGATCATGACTCGATGGGGGTCTGGGGAAGAGGACTCGATCGCCATACGCGCACGGGACGCCTCGTGCCGGGTCGGTGTGCCGGGGAGGCCTCGGGAGGGCCCCCCCCCCCCGTGGGCCAGACTTCAGTGTGCGCTGCTCGGCGTGCCTCGCTCTCGGCCTCGGTCTCGGGATCGCGGGAGAACGGAATCGCCTGGGACCAACGCGAGAAATCCCGGGCCCGACAATTTACGCCACAAGCGTGTATATGGACATACATACATACATACATACATACATACATACATACATACATACATACATACATACATCTATGCATACATACATACACACATACATACATGTATACATACATACATACATACATGCATGCATGCATGCATACATACATACATTCACACACACATACGTACATGCATACATACAAACATACAAACATACATGCATACATACATACATACATACAAAAACACAAGCGAACAAACAAACAAACAAACAAACAAACAAACACATATACATGCATGCATGCATGTATGCATGCATGCATGCATACATACATACATCCATACATACATACGCACATATGTACATATATACATACAGACATGCATGCATGCATGCATGCATACATACATACATACATCCACACTTATTACCATACATACACACATACATACATATATACATACATACAGACATACATACATACATACATACATGCATACATGCATACATACATACATACATACATACGCACACACATACATACATACACACATACATGCATACATACACATATACATACACACATACATACATACATACATACATACACACATACATACATGCATACATACATACATGCATACACATACACACATACACGTTCATACACACACACACATATACATACATCTATGCATGCATGCATGCATACATGCATACATACGTTCACACATACATGCATGTATACATACATGCATACATGCATATATGCATGCATACATACACACACCATGATATGCATGTATATATGAATATATGCATGCATATGTCTGCACAGGCGCCCGCCGACAATATTTGCATGTACCTTCAGGGAGGGGACGGTGTATAAAGTCGTTGGCTTTCTGTGGTGTCAGTATTCATACACCTCCAGCCGCGCCCAAGACCCAAGAGCAGTCCAATGGAGGCTATGTGTGTCTATGTTTTTTTATGGCGGACCAAATGTTGACGTTTCGCGTCTGTCGAGCCTCCTCTTGCTTCCGCCGGCGAGCCCGCCGCCATTGTACAGTCGGGCTGCTGAAATAAAAAACGTTGGATAAGAAAGAAGCCGTGTTTAGCACCAGACTAGCTAAGGTGCCTAAGGACGGCTGGAATGCCAACCGCGGCACGATCTCAGAAACAGTCCGAACCCAGACAGGTCTTCATTTCAGCGTCCTGGCTGCACTTCCGCCGGGACGCCCCATCAGAGCACCAGGTCGGGCTCGGGATTTGAAGCGTTCCAGAAAGGGCCTTGCCTTCGAGACTGGAAGGAATTGTCATGTCTGCCGTGGCGGAAGGCGGCGGAAGGCTGGCGGAAATAAAACCAAGCGGTTTCCGCCAGCTGAAGCCGACGGAAAGCCGGCGCAACGCGGCGGAAGTAAGAGATGCGCCCCCACCCGGAACTCGTGGGCCCCGTCGCGTAGGGAGAGGCGCAGGGGCAGGAAGGGGGCGCAGGGAGAGGCGAGAGGCAGGAAGGGGCGTGGGAGGAGCAGGGAGGAGAGAAGGGGGAGGATGAAGATGATGAGGAGGAGGAGGAGGAAGAGGAGGAGGAGGAGGAGGAGGAGGAGGAGGGGGAGGAGATGAGGAGGGAGAAGGAAGAGGAGGAGAAGGAGGAGAAAGGGGAGGAAGAGAGGAGGAAGGAGGGGGAAAAGGAGGAGGAGGACGAGAAGGAGGAGGGGAAGGACGAGGAGGAGGGGGAGGAACAGGAGGGGGAGGAGGACGAGTAGGAGTAGGAGGAGGAGGAGGAGAGGAAGAGGAGGAGGAGGAGGAGGGAGGAGGAGGAGAAGAACGAGGAGGAGTAGGAGGAGGAGGAGAGAGGAGGATGAGGAGGTAGGGGGAGGAGGAGGAGGAGGAGGAGGATGAGGGGGAGGAGGAGGAGGAGAAGGAGAAGGAGGAGGAGGAAGAGGAGGAGGAGGAGGAGGAGGAAGAGGAGGGAGGCGGAGGAGGATAGAGGAAGGGGAGTGAACATCTCACGCTGACTTCCGCCGCCTTCCTTCAGGGAGAGAAAGAGAGAGAGAGAGAGAGAGAGAGCGAGAGAGAGAGAGAGAGAAAGAGAGAGAGAGGGACATAGAGAAAGAGAGAGAGAGAGAGAGAGCGAGGACGCGCCAGATTCTAGGTTTTTTTGCTAGAGCGCCCCGTCCGCGCACCGCCGCGGCTCTGAGGTCCTCCGCGGGGCACTCTTAGCATCTTTAGACACCAGCGTTGCAAAGCAGCTCTGAGCGGGCGTGGCCAGCAGCACCGCGAGGACGCCGATGAAGACCCAGAGCACCTTGCGGTGAACAACCGCACCACGCCCTCACCAACGCAATACCCGAACGAAAGTATAGCGTGGCCCACACCCTGGTACCTTCCCCAGTGCGACGCTTTCATTCCAAGTCGTTTTAAGCAGCTCCAGCTGGCCTCGACAGGCCCCCCCGCGCAGATCCAGCTGGCCTCAGCAGGCCCCCCCGAGTGCCCCAGAGCGGTCTCGACACCCGAGCGCCGCCTGCGGCGGCGCCCTTGGGGCGCCCTTGAGAAACCGCCCTGACCTGCTCGGAGGCCTCTTGAGGCCAGCTGGGGTTTCATGGGGGGGGCTGTCCATAACTATGCCTTCCCATTCGGGTCGGGGACCATTGTGCCCCACGGTTGAGACCGCCCCAGACTACTCGGGGGCTCCATTGAAGCCAG